CCCCCATCCAGCCACCTCTCCCTGACCCTAATACAGTGGGTACCACCACCTCGGCTGAAGAATGATTTCCTCTATTGATGGAGAGGTCTGGTGAAGCTGTGAAAAACAGCAGGAGGTCTGTGGAGAAACCAGAAAATGATGTGGACCAACCTAGAGTCTTAGACCCCATGCCGCTAAAGGGCCATGAATCATTTCTACAACACCACTGATTGACGTCAGTGTTTGACATGTCATTTACAAAAGGTGCAGTCTTGGGATATGGTACAACTGACCAATGAAAATAAAAGAAGAAAAAAAAAAATAATGAGGGTGCAACTCAAGCTCTGAATATCATCCACTGTTTGGTTAGCTTGCAGCACCAGCAAAAAGACTAAAGAGGGCTGCAAAGTTTCTAATTCATCTCAATGTTTTTTCAATTTTTAAATCTTTCAAAAAGAAAATGGGAGCAAATTACATAAATGTGTAAAAAAGCCACAAAAAGTGTTCATGTGCTGTTAACTGGTCTGCTAACTTTCTAAAGGGTTGAGCAGAGGACAACGTACACTTACAAGTTGTAATTTTTACAATGTTTACAGCTAACTATTTACACTTTCAAAGTGATTTTTCCATGTTTAATGTTAGCATCTTTAGCTAGGTCTACTCCTGTGGTTTTTCTCCTTTCTACCTGGGCCCCATTGTCAGGCAAAGTTAGCCAAGTTATGCTAGCTTGTGATTGGGAAGGTTTTTAGGCTTTGAGGCTGAATAAGTCTAAACAAAAGTAGGGTGACCATATGTACTTTTTTACCCCGGACATGTCCTCTTTTTCAGGGGCTGTCCAGGTTTGTCCGGCTTTGTCCAGGGAAGTTTATGAAATCCCTCAAATGTCTGCTGTTTTGTACGTAAGTGTCGAGTTTGTGTCACGTGGACTTACTGAGTTAGAAGTGCGTAAAAGAAACTCGACCCAACCCGAAAAACTCTCAAATTAACTTTGTGCGACTCCGTGACTCCGCCCCCATAGTCGTGTTCAAAAGTAAAGTCACTACTTAAAAAATATCAGGTCTGGTTAAAAGTTAGTGACAGCTAGCTACAGTTTTGTTTCAGTGTGGAGATCTCCCCTGTCCACAACCAGAGTTGTTTTTGTCAGTTTCTGTGTGAAATCAGTGACCTGCAGATTCAAGCAGGGTAAAAAAAACGGTCTGTCTCCATTATCATCGTATAACAACAGTAACTAAACCCAGCTTTCTTTTTCAAGGCCTGAAACCCTCCTGTAGGTAAAACTTCTTTCTCTTTCTTCCCATGTGCCCATCATCCTCCCACACTCGGTCCTGCTCTTTTAATGAAATAGGAACCATACTGGGTACCGTTCCTGATGCTAAGTGGTTGTGGCTGCAGACATGTTTTCCCTATTGTCCTTATTGAGGTTATTGTAGTGGCATAATCACTTCCTGACTCTGCCAGCCCGTTCAAAGAGAGCTCAGCCATGCTCCTCCGTGGCCTTTTAGCCACCTCCTTTATGCAACAGCAAAATTTTCCCTGACAATTCAAAGTCCCTTGTTGCTCATTTTTATCTGATTAAGCTTGTGATTTGTACCGGTTGCCTGTTTTTTGTTTTTTTTTTAGTCCTTAATTAAAGCAATTTAACAGTAACAATGGAGAATGAGTACAGCTGTGCACCTATGACTCCCATTAAAAATGTATGTTTGAACAATTTTAATCATTTAACACCTCCACACCCTCAAACCTCTAACACATATGCCAGCTATCATACACACACACTCTCTCTCTCCGTCTCTCTCTCTCTCTGCCAGCCACAGCATTTATATTAATAGTCTCCATATTCCTTAGTAGGCTCTACTTCCTCTATTTCAGCCCCCGCAGCCATAAACAGCAGCGTGGAGTGGTTCTGTTGGGGGCCGAGGCCTCTCCAGAGAAGGACGCAGTGTTTCCCCCCAAGCCGGAGGGAAGGAAAATTAAAAAAGTAAGGGTCCGAGAACAAGATTTACAGCAGGTAGAAAAAAAGATGGCGTAGACAAATGGATTCTTAAAAGATAGATGGATGAGCTGCTTCACAGTCCTGTCAGAGCCCTCTGAGAAATTAATCCTTGTCCGTTCAAAGGGATAAAAAATGGCGTTCACTTTTAGATTTGGGTCACCACAGTCCATGCCTGCTCTGTCTTTATTTGGGACAATAAAGACAGCTGTTGGCACGTTGACAGCTCGGTCGCCAAACACTTGAGGACCGGGCGTCGGAGCGACTGAAACCTGGGAGTGGGACCGTTCCTGAGTGAGGAAAGGAGGTGGGCGATGACAAGCTGATGTAGGACTGTAATGATAGGAAGAATTAATGGGAAAACCAGCAGCAGTGGGGACCAGGAAAGTTTATGAGTGCAAGTAGTTCAGATTCCTATTCTAGGAGAGCACTATCCTCTGACATATAGGCAAACAAACACGTTAACACACGATCACATGATATGACTCAGGTGTCAGCATAAGCTCGGTGTCACTTCCTGTGTCACTGTGGCAAACCAAGGTCAGGAAATGTCCCAAAAGCATCCCAGAATAGAAACAGTGTGTAAGTTAGAGATAATCAGTCAACAGGATCATCTTTCTACTCAACTGTAAAGGCAAGCTGTGCATTATTATGTATTCATCATGAGACGGCATCTGTCATTTCCCTTTTTCCTGCTGGTCAAAGGTCAAAGGTTATCAGAAAAAAATAGGCTGTGCTGAGTGACTGGTCAATTTAGAGGATAATGCGAAGAAAGCAGATGGGGAATGCTACTATGAATAAGGACAGAAAGGATGAAAAAGTTTAAGTTCAAAAAGCAGGGAAAAAAAAGGGGCGCTGTACAGTGAAAGAGTGGGAGGACAAGTGCTTCACGAGGACATCGTCCTTCATTGTAACAGGTGTTGAAAACCCCCGTGAAAGACAAATGGTCCTCCAAAAAAGTCCCGAAGTTGAGAAAGAAAGAAAAAAAACATCCTGGTAATAGATTAGTTTGAGGGACACGCAGACGGTGCTGGACTCATGTAGGCTCAATCAACACAGACTGACATGAGTATCAGTATGAGGATGTAAATTAATCTCAAGAGTGACAACACACACACACACACACACACACACACACACACACACACACAAACACACACACACACACACACACACACACACACACACACACACACACTACACAAACACACACGTTAATGAACTACATCTGAACTGCAGAGAGACGGTTGCCTTCGGGACTGTATCTCAAGCAAACCCTAACCTCCTTCTGAATGTAAGGGCTGAAAAATATGTGGTTCAAAGTTTGACTGGGAGTCAGCCAACAGAGCCAACACACTGAACCAGGACAGGAGTCTGTCCCCCCAAAGACTCTGAGTGTGTTTATATGTTTGTGAGAATATCAAAAAAAAACCTGAGGCAGTGAGAAACAAACATGGATCTCAGCCCAGACCCTTTATCGTTCATAAATCTCAAGATGAGATGGTTTAGGCAGTAACTTGAGAGTGACCCTTCTTCAAGGATCTCTTAAATGAGGCTTCCTGGACTGTTTCAACTGCACCACTACAGTAAGTTTTTTTTTTAATGGTTTGAGTTAAAGTGGGCTTTTTTTAAACTGTAAATTCATTCCTGTTTGATTTGTGTATACCTGACCATCCCATGAAAAGGTTTTATTTGAAAGTAATTAGCATTTAATGGTAGAGTGTGTAAAATCGGGAATGTTTAGTGCAACTGCACTTGTGAGTACATCTGTGCGTTTAAAAAAAAAATTGGAAAACCTTCTCCTCACCTCTGTCTCTGTTGCTTGTTCTTCGATATAAGATTTTAAGCAACATTACAACAGTACATATGACCTCCTATGTAAATATCTGCACAGCTTACCACACAGAGAAACACGCATACACACCCATCTATCAGTCCTCCATCTGCTCTGTCTGTTTCTCATCGCCATGGCTCAGCTTGATTTAGCTACTGTGACATTTCTCGCAAACACAGTGCTTCCAGGGAACAAAGCGCAGGATTGGTGGAACAAGCTCCCCCTCCGTCTCTTCTTTTCGGCCCCATTTTGTTTAACCCAACAACTGGGAGCAATAAAGAGCCAAATGAAAATAGCAGAATGTGAAACTCCATATGCACAACCACAGGACTTCCATCCATCCATCTATGCTGCTCGTGCGAGGGGGGAAATTTAATTTAACAGAAAAGGAAGGGAAAGGTGGGGTGTGGAGAAAAAGGGTGTGAGCAGAGAAGGTCAGTTTCTCACTTCCTTGTTTGCTGGAGGCAACGTGTCTCGATGGTGTCTTCTCTCTTAGGTCTTCTACTCCCAAGACTTACCTTAAGCTATAAATTACAATCATGAGAAATCAATACATAAATGAAGAGGTTTGCTTGTACTCGCCATATTAACTATGTACTCAAAAGAGAGACATTGGGTCGAGTTTTCGGCAAAAACTCTATTTTTTATTCAGCTGAATAACAGGATCCAACAGACTCAAGGAGTTTTCATTTTGAACAGCATTTGTTTAGCATTAAAAAGTGAGTTGTTTCATTATTTGTCAAATACTGGATGTATTTGCTCAAAATAATATGTCAACTCAATTGCTATCATTGAGAGTGTTTACGGGTCTGAGATGCAACCGTGAGGATTCCCTTTTTCCTGTTCGTTGTGTGCTCGCACGTATGCTGACAGCTGTTCAGCCTCCCTGTCTGAAATAAAACCGCCTTTTTTCCAAACTGTCAACCGATCTGTCAGCGTTTCACTGTGCTCATCCTGCTTTTGCTCCAATAAGATGGAGGACACATGTTGTGGATGTAAACAGCAAACAGAAAGAGAAAAGGACAACGGATGTGATTCACATGGTCCTGATTCATTCTCCAGCTGCCCAGCATCTCTGCTGCCTGCAGGGTCAGACGGGGTTCAGTCACTCAGACAGGGTTCAAATCCCTAGACTGTGTATAAAGAGAGAACGTCGCCTCCCTGACTTCATCTGTTGACTTGTGGACTAGGGTTTGGAGATCTTGAGTTTGGTATTTTGGTTATTGCCATCTTGTTTTCTTCAGAGGCAGCACTGACAGTATCTAGTTCACAAGGTTGTTTTGGATCAGCTGGTTGACAAGTCATCTCGGGAGCAACTTTTCAATGACAGACAGCAGTGCCCCAAAGACCACCTTACTTTTCATCTTTCTTCTCCTTATTGGAAAAAAATGCATAAAAGTTATACTGGGGAGGATCTAAGACAATTTATTTTGTACTTAATGCGACTTAAAGGGATATTCTGTTGTAAAATTAATTTAGGGTCAAATGCACCGTAACATCGAGTTAGACACCCCCTCAAGAGATTAGTGTTGCCAACCACTTGCTTCTCCAGTTATACCAACTTTAGTAATGGCCACAGGATAGCAAGACACAGCGGTCTGAGGAGCCATAAACAAATCTCAACCAAAACACCACTCTATAGCCACAAATAATGCTCAGAACAGCACCTAACTTCATCAACAGTACATATAGGGTCCTAGCCAAAGCACTAGCCACCAAACATCTTTTTAACTTTGCCTGATTTCTTTAGCAAAGAGACTAAACACAATTCACCTACTCTCTTCCAGCAGCCGCTTGTTTGTAGCGAGCCGTCAGGCCAGTCCATTACGGACTACAGTGGGGTGACACAGCTCAAGGAGGAACATTTATGATCATTTCTTTATCATTTCCTTGAAGTAATAATCATCATATTAATCGTTTTGCACTGCAGTCTGCAGATGTGGTAGTTCTTCTGCCAAAGCGTCTCTGTCTGATTGCATTTCCATGAAGAAATGGCGCCGGAATATTGCTTTAAGTTTAAATTCTAACTCCTTTAAGTCCAAAGGTGGTGAAGCACCCAGAAAACATTTTATTTCACACAGCTTATCATAGGATCATCGGTAATTGCCTGGGGTACTGACACATTGTGCACCCTTCTCCCCTTTTTGTATCCTCCATCTGTCTGTGTCATGAACTCTGAATCATCGTGTCCCATTAAGAGTCACTAACCACAGTCTTTTCTCGGAGTCTGTCTGCTCCATCATACCATAAGTTTCTCTAGATCACTGCTGCAGATGTTTTGTTGCTGTAGACCTGCCGGCTCTCCAGCAGCTTCAACTACTTCCCTCAGACTTATCCCATCTTTACATTGGGTCTTTGTAAGTAGAGTGTGGTCTAGACCAGCTTTTGCATTTACATTTATATCTGCATGTAGCTGGGATTTAAAAAAATAACACTGGTTTAAAGCCTGAGAAAAAAACGTATTCTCAAGCTGCTGCAGACTTGCAGGGAGGATGCTCAAGCAGCCGTTTACCTTCTCAGAGATTGTTACTAAACAACTAAAAGAACAATCGGTCAGAGCTCTTGTGAAACTGTATACATTTCCAAACAGTTACTAGATACTGACTTCAGTGTTTCTTAAATCAAAGCTGTTATAACCTCTTTTAGAGCATTTCTGTATGTGTCTGAACCCTAACCCCAAACACATGACTATGAAAGGGAACACTCTGCCTGTGTTTGGACTACACTTCACCCCTTTGTTGAAGTGTGGTTACAGTGAGATGCTATCCAGTAAACATCACCCTGGAATTCATGCGAAGGTTACCCGCAATTGGGAATTAAGGCACCCCAAACATGTTGGTACCAGGTCAACCTTCCTGTTTTACTTTCAGCTTCAAGTGTTGCGTGACTGCAGAGTGGATTTCTGGGAGCTGATTGAGAGGGCGTCTGTGTCAGGGTCTGGAACTGGATGTGCGTTCAGCTATAAGGATGCCTATTTCATGCCCATGTGAGTGTGATCAATGCACAGGTTTCCTGACATACTCTGTCAGGGCTGAGTAACAATGCCGTAAACCTGTCTATGTGTTTAAGTGTACATGCATGTTCCTACAGCTGCGGGGTGTTAGCATGTTGTTTATGTCTGATGCATTATTCATTAGATCCTAATGAACTATACACACACTAAATGCTCATAATTCCTTGTTTATTTGGGGTTTGCACTTGTGGAAAACTGTGATTATGTGTTTACATTTGCTGGGAGGTTTGCATGTACAGGTTCAGCAGGAAGAAGGTCACACTATTCTGCATCAGCGCCAGTGTTGTGATGTCCAGCAGGTGGTTTGTGTTGAGTGGCAGCCTGGTGCTGAAAGGCAGCCTGGGTAGTCAATGCGTGTCACAGCTAATGAGAGGTGAAGGCAGAGACGGGCCCACCCCACACACACAGACAGACGCAGTCAAAACAATGAGAATGCCCTCACAAAACACAGCCACCACCAGCCGAGCTCAGCAAATATGAGCAGATCACAACAAAGTGGAACGGAGCACAAAGAGTTCAGCAGCCAGAGGACAGAGGCTTTGTTTTTCAAGATGCTACACTGACTGTAATTCTGGCCAGGAGGTGATGAGGAAAGACTGGAAATGTGCAGATTGATAAGTGGGCTTACCCAAGAAGGGTGATCACCCCTCAGTCTCACCACATGATCGATTTGTTATGTAGACGACCGCACTCTAAGTGAACTTGTTTCTTGATAACAACCTAAACGACTTTATTCAAGGATAATTATGCAAAAAGAACTTTTGTAACACCTTTTTTGCTGCTATAACTATAACTCATCATAAATATATTTATAATGCGTTATAATCATGTTATAGCACCTTATAACTATAGTTATAAACACTCATAAATAATCATAATGCTTTATAGCAATAATCATAACAGGTTATAAAGCATTTTATCATGACTTACTAGGTCAGGTATTATAATGTGTTATAACTGTTAACAACTCACTAACAATGCCCACATAGATAATGCAATAAAACTGTTATTAACAGTTATGACACATTATAATACCTGACCTTGTAAGTCATGATGAAATGCTTTATAATCTGTTATGATTATTGCTATAAAGCATTATGATCATCTATGAGTGTTTATAACTATAGTTATAAAGTGCATTAATGTGATTATAACATATTATACATATATTTATAATATGTTATAGAGATGGGCGTCAAACAAAGAGTCACAGAACATTTTAATGGAACACTAAAGGATTCGTATGATGCAGAAAGTGCATATTCTTATCTAATTAATATGTGGAGGTAAATTCAATAAAAAAAATATTTTGTGTATATACATGTTTTGTAAAGTGTAAGTATGTGTACACTTTTAGGAGACAGAAAAGTTGACCTTAGTTTCAGGAAACCCTGAAAAGCACTGAAGTTTAGGTGGAGTTTATGAGCCTGAGTGCCCGTGCGACTCTTTTCCTAAAAGGGCCCTTGCGTGATGATGCCTTAAAAGAATTGACCCCAGATAAACAAACCCTCCTCTACAGCAAGTGAGTCACACACACACACACACACACACACACACACACACACACACACACACACACACACACACACACACACACACACACACACACACACAATCACATTCAACACGTTTGTGTTTGTTGACGCTGGGCATGCTGGCATGTATGGGAGAGGCTCAGTTTTCTGCACCATTCACACAGGCTCCTGGGTGGTACTTCCATTAATAGGGACTGCAGCCACAGACGCTGGAATTCTTGCACTCAGGAGGATTTTAAGTAGACAAACACACTTGCACGCAAACGAACAACCCAAAAGCTTCATACACACAACTATCCCTAGTAGCCTCAGCTTGGAAAAAAGATGTACCTTCACTTATTTTCTCTGTAACGCTAACAAAAAATCATTTCAACAATGCATGTTTTGAGTCAGACTACTTATACTTGCAAACTTCCTATGACCAATCGCCACCCTCAGATGTTGAAAACAGTGAGTCCTGTAACGAATGGGTGATGTGCCTAGAGGCAGAGGACAACAGTCACTGGCATGGTGTGGAGGTGAGAAAGAGGGTTGTGTTTGTGCTAGATCAGATCCGATTGGGGCCACTGGTGCTGCAAAAATTTCCAAGAAGTCTGGAGGTGTTAAATTCAGTCTTAAGGGAGGATTAACATGAGGGTTAGCACACCCTGGCAAGCAGGTAGAGCAGGGGTTAAGGAAACATACGGGTCACCTGAGGGAGCATGGGCCTCAACATGGAGAGAGTTTTTCTTCATCATCCTAAAGTGCCAGACTCTCTTTTTCAGACCAAACACTAAGGTACCAGACTCTTTAACGTGACAAACATCAGCACCAGCATTAACATGCGCAGCAGAGGTCACTTGACAAGGAGATTTCAAAGTGTTAGTCTCGGCTAGTGCTGGTAGATGCTGAATGGTGGTCTGTAACAGGATAAAATCCCCTTTTATCTCTGTTTCCTCTATTCATTCATAAAATGTGGTTCTAGTTTTATGCTCTGGAACACATTAGGGCAAAACTTGAAGAAAACAGCGCACGGGGAGGAGCGGGAATAGAGTATGAAAGGAAAGGTGTGCCAATCACTGTGACTTCACACTAAAAGTGTTGTTTCTGAGTGTGTGGTTGTAAGAGAAAGTATGCACCAGAGGGACATAGCGTGAATGATCTTGAGAGAGCTTTAAACAAAACCCCAGCTCTTCTTTCCTCTCTGCAATGCAATCCTTTTTCTCAGGTGCCTCACCACTCGTGCCCTTGGCCTTTTCTCTAAGCTAGCTCCTTCTTCTGGTTTTTGTCTACTCTTCTCTCACACCTGAAACAGACAGGATGATTACAGCCTCTGTAAAAGCCAAGGTGAGATCCTCAAGCTGTGCATCCAGGAGTAATGGGTAACATGGTGCTGCTGGTGGGACTGTAAACATACAGTCGTGACCTGACGTGGAGTGAAGCAGGTAAAAGAGCCATAAAAATACCAAATTGACGTGCCAGACACTGTTGCACGATAATATGATGAAGGAGGGCTTGTTTAGACCAGCAATAATGGATACAGCTTGACTTATTATTATGCTTAATGCAACGCTGCAGACATTTCGCATTAGGTTAATGGATGACTCAACAGATGAGTGGTCACAAGCATTTCTGTGTGTATGTAGTCTGCAGCACCATCCCAAAAGTAAGACTTTAAAGGGATATTCCGGCATAATATTAATATGAGTTTAAACACACTATAACACTGAGTTAGA